ATACAATCCAAGAATTATGACTGAGATATAGTTTTCTTCGCCAAAATTACATCTTAAATATATCCACTTTATGTTTTGCAATTTCTCGAAATATATGTGACATGTTTCTGGATATATATTTTTTTCATATGAGTTGTAATATTTCAGAAGAGGATAAATAATATTTTCTCAACTCACATAAATAATTTCATTGGCAAAAAATTTTAATTTACAAATTTATATCACTTCTTTGTTAATCTCCATCCCCCAATGAAGATTGGCATGGAGCCAAAAGATTTCTGAATATTACACAAGGGGTAATCGCTCTTGAATTCTGGTGACAGGTGATATTGAAATTTTATGAAGCCCGATGAAATCTTGAAATCCCATGGAATTTTCAGGTGAAATTCACATATTCCGCGGAACGGTTTGAAATGGCATTCCCTATTCATAAAAAAATTTTGAATGGACACGATTCAAGCGAATAAATCATAAAAACATAAACAATATAAATATCTTTAAAATCTCATGAATTCCCTTCGAGGCCCTCAGAATCGCTTGAAGTTTTTGAATTTCCTTGAAATTCTTGACATTAAAAATTTTTTTTTGAGAGTGACTACCCCCTCTATTTCATTAAAAATAATATGAAAATATACCGAATATACCGATCTCTGCTACGATGATCAATCAAAAATACTTTATTTATTTTCGAGCGTTCGTAATTCCTTGTCTACGGGAAAAATAACAGACAATATTGTTTACCCAACCGAAAAAACTAGTCCCCTTGCTTCCTGCAACCTCATTCGAAAAAGAAACAAAACGTTTCTCTCTAATGAAGCTAATGAAAATAATTACTACGACTGAATGAATTATTCAAGCATAAAAAATATATGATATTTTAGGAACGCTTTCAACGATTTGTGCCACGATTAGTTCAGCTACTTGCTGAATGGACTGAAACATTTCCGTACGATTTTCGGGATGAGAGAGTGATGGCTCATGTGAAATCTATCACGCAGAAAGTTGCGAGTGTAGATGCCACGGCTCGCCAAGAGGTATCGGCATTGTTGCAAAATCTATTATTACGCCTAACAGCATTGGAGAGGTATGAAGAGGGTCTCGCTAGGCTGACTACCGAGTCTGGCGCCCAGCAACTAAGTCAGGTACGATGTCAAGAAGTTATTGCCGATATTTTATCATTTTCATGTGTTTTATAAATTTCTGGCGAATCCTCAATCAGATTAACCCATTCCCTCTTTTACAAAAAAGAGGGCAACATTTTTCGTCACCGATCTATCTCTCCTATAGTATCTGGGAGGCGCTGGGTTATTCTAATGTATAGTATATCTTATAGTATATGGTGTATAATATATAATATATGTTTTATCGACACTATTGTTATATTTAGCCCGTGCAGAAATGTGTGTTTTCGTTGAATTCTAAATGGAAATTCCATAGTTCGTAATTTGTTAAACGTAAAATCACTGACAAAATCGATTGTTCGACATATGTGCGATGAGGATTCTTCACTCCTGTGATTGGCAATCCTCGGATTCGCCTCGGGCTGTCAGCTTTGAAATATACTATTAATTAAAGGGAGGTTTAAAATTGTATA